GATTTAGCTTTATTTTTAATTATTATTATTATTATTAAAGCTGTCACATGGTTACAAGTGTCAGCTGGCAGAAGGGAGATAGGGGTGGCAGTAGSATTGACTTAAAAAAAGTGGCAAAGCTGCATTTCTGAGCAGCAGGAAGTCAGCCAGGGATTCCCCAAGTTCTCCCTCCTCCCCTTTCCCAGTATCTTGAAATCAAATCTGCCAAGCCAGCATTAAACAATCCATCACCARCTTCCTGAAATATTGGGGATTACTCCTCATTAAAGAGCCTCTCCTTGCTGCAATGCACAAGAGATAATCACCTGCTTTCCAGGAAAATCCAGATTTTGGAAGCAGAATTATTTTAGTTTTAGWTTGCTTCTCCAAAGTGCTGCTGGATTGGGCTTAAGTCTCTTACACTTTGCTTTTAACAAGTTACCTCCAYAACAACTTTAACATTTCACCGCTGGCTTTAACTCTTCTGTTTCCCCCACATACTCCAACTATTTATTATCTTACGKTTAGAGCTTGGAATTTATCTACGTGATCTTGTATTTAGATCATGTCAGACACAAAAGTAACATGTTGAAGAGAAATTGTTACAGGTTTTAGAATCAGTGTTTGAAAATCTCTACTATGTGAAATTCTAGCACACTACACATCGTATTATTTAGAGACAGACCACGATAAAAGCAAAAAAAATAAAAGCTACTCTAAAAGATGCTGAATTATGATCTCAGTTTTCATCAGTTAAGAGCTGTCAGACAGTAGTGAGCTCTGATTTTATTTTTATTTTAACCCCAGACTCCTCTTTAGCCATTATAGATGAAAAGCCATCCAGGCTAATTTAGTTAACCATCCTCAGACAAAACTGTGGGTAACACGATTGGTTTCACCAGAAAGAAMAGATATTTAAAACTAAACAAATTACAAACCTTACAGGCTGGTAGATGATTTGTGTTGAGATACAAAGTGATTATAACTTTGTGAGAACGACTAAACGACTTGTAACACCTCCAGAGCTCTGAAGTAAAAGGGGTATTAAATCTTGACAACAAAAACAGTACAAAAAGAGTCACTCCCATATTTCAGGTAATTTAGCACCATAACAGCGTTGAGCAATACTGTTCAAACAGGAATAAATGCTGATGTTTATAAAATATGTGACAGTCTATAGAGGTCTGAAGAGCTCAGACACTCTCAGCTTCCCTCACGCAGGCTGTGACATTTTGTATCAAATATTTGAGGCCACCAAAGGGGAGGACATTCGGGGCTGCCTGTGACACACAAAAACAAATCGGCGGAGTCCAGGGTCAGCGMCGGGGAGTTCAGCCAAGTTCAGAAATCAGACACCGCGCTGACCCGGCTCCTGTGACACCGCACAGCTCAGCCTCAGCAGGCATTGCCACCTGTCCTCGTCCGCAGAGAAGTCCTGGCTTTGGAACACGGTGAAAATACCTCCTGGATGGACTCAGCCGAGCGCCGGATTGCTTCTGGAGGAGCTAAGAGCTGGAAGGCAGCGAGTTTTTGGGAGGGACACGCAGGTACTCCCTGCTGGGGCTGCTCGCCCAGGGAGGGACACGGCTGGCGGCCTTACAAAGGCAGAGGGACACGCAGGGGGAGAGAAAGGGCGGGTAACAGACAGGCTGTGACACTCCGAACGCAGAAAAAAGGATATAAAAACAGAGTGGGGGCTGCTTTGGGAGGGAAAAAGGCTATGGAGATGAAGCAGGAGGGCTCCGTCCCCTGAATATGAGGGTGGTGAGACTGCCCAGAGAAGCTGTGGCTGCCCGAACCCTGGAAGTGCTCAAGGCCATGTTGGACAGGGCTTGGAGCAACATGGGATAGTGGGAGGCTTCCAGGCCGGAGGCACCAGGGAGGGGAGATACCGGGGGTCTGCGAGGGCGATGAAGGGAGCAAAGCCCGGCAGCGAGCAGGACAGGCAGGATGCGCTCGGTGGTCGCAGGGGGTGTCACCAGCACAGGGCGGGACACGGACCCGCGGCCTGCCATGGATCCCCGCGGGAATCCCGCGGGAAGGGGCGCGGGAGGCACCGCACGGCGGGCAGGGCTGTGAGGGGAAGCTCCGGCGGGGCCGGGAGCGTGTGCGGGGGGACGGGGGCGTGTGATGGAGGGGGACGGGGGTGTGTGCGGGGGGACGGGATCCCGCTCACCTCAGAGTCCTCTTTGGCCTGCGGCAGCGCGGGGAAGGCCGGCTTGGCGAGCTCCATGGCCGGGCGCTGTCCGGGCGGGGCAGGACCCGGGGCAGGGCGGCTATTTGGGCAGCGGGGCCGCGGGCTCCGGCTCGGGAGCGGCAGGAGATGATGGAGGCGGCGGAGGAGGAGGCGGCGGCGGCGCGCTCAGCCGCTCGCGCCCGGCCGCCATGCTGCTGCTGCTGCTGCCGCCTCTTCTTCCCTCCTCCTCCTCCTCCTCCTCCTCTTCCCACCTCTTCCTCCTCCCCCTCCTCTTCCTCCTCCTCCTCCCGGCCTCCCGCCCGCCCCCGGGCCCCGCTCCCGCTGCGCCCCCGCCCCGCTCCGCCCCGCTCCGCCCTCAGCGCTCTGCCCTCCCCTCACGGGCAGCTGCCGCCCCGGTTCGTTTGATTAACCCGCTCGCAACCCCGAATTCGGGGTAATTCGCCCCAAAGTTTCAGTAACGGGCGCTTGGGCCGTTAACGGCGAGCACGGCCCGGCTTGGAGCGCCTCACGCCATGTCGCGGCCATTAAGGCTCCTTGTCGCCGTCCCCTGACATTGCCGCGGGCTCCTTCCCCTCACAGGCCCGCTTCCATCTTGGCTTCATCGCCCGTGGCAATGACGCTGCTCCCTCACATTTCAGCCAAGCGGGTCATGGCTGGACTGCCCAGGGAGGTGGTGGAGTCCCCATCCCTGGAGATCCCCAAGGTCGTGGCACTCAGTTCTCTGGGCTRGGTGACACGGTGGGGATCGGGCACAGACTGGACTCGATGATCTCAGAGGTGTTTTCCCAACCTGAATGAGGGTGATTGATGCCCTCAGATACCTCAGTGTTGGGATAAGAACTGTTTTTCTGCTTTCTGAGCTCCCATGGTCTGAGAATTCCAAGAGAGCTGGAGAGGGACTTTGGACAAGGGCCTGGAAGGACAGGGCAAAGGGCAATGGCTTCAAACTGCCAGAGGACAGGGATGGATGGGATATTGGGAAGGAATTCTTGGCTGGGAGGGTGGTGAGGTCCTGGCACAGGGTGCCCAGAGAAGCTGTGGYTGCCCCTGRATYCCTGGAAGTGTTCCTGGCCAGGTTGGATGGGGCTTGGGACACCCTGGGATAGTGGAAGATGTCCCTACCCATGGTCCTTTAGTTCTCTTCCAGCCCAAACCATTTTATAATTCTATGAGGCTTCACTTTMAGCTGCAGTTTTTCATTCCTGTGCTGTTTGGTGAACCAAAGACACTGGTGTCATTGGAATTTCTGAGAAAAACTTAGTCAAAGCAAGCGAAGTCAATGGGTTGGTTACTTAAATAAAACTGGAAGCATCCTTTTGGAAATCCTAGCCCTTGATTTTTAGGTGCACCAGAAATAAAAACAAAACCTTTTTCTGCTGCTTTACAAAATAAAACTTTGAGAAACCTTTGGCAATCACRTTTCAGCAACCATTTCCTCAGCACTCCAATTCCCTTGCAGTGAAAGATGAAGGAAACAGTAAAGGAGAAAGCCAAGGGAAAACTGCAGCTCCCACCTCCAGCTGGTGTCAAGAACAGGAATAGGGAGGTGTTTGTAGCCTCAGCTTGTGGCACAAACTTCAAAAATGAGCTTTAACCACGCCCCAAGCTCCAGGAAAGAGTTTTCCACCTCTTACCCTCCTCCAAGGTAACGCCAGAGGCTCAGCTCGCTGTTGTAATCACTGTAGTGCTCAGAAATGGACTTTTATTTCGTGTTGTCATTGTTCCAGGCACGCTGGCTGTACAAGCTGCACTCAAAGGCTGTTAAAACTAAAGATGCAAATCTCATGTTTATACTCCTGACACAGCCACAATAGGGAGAAAGGTCGGTTACAGCCATATAAACAGGGAAATRTTGTTGTCTGTCCTGTTTTAACTGTTCCACACCTTACACTACCRGTTTTATCTCAGTGGTGGGAGAGGAAATAAAACTACAGTTGTTAGAACTGCCAGGGAGATGCTGTGTATTTCCTGAGAAGTCAAGAGATAATCTAATGTACTTGCCTGTCAGCTGAGCATGCTCAGGATAATCCAATTAGGTTAATTAGAGGTAGCCAGAAGTGCAGTTTAGTGCACTGCTGTTCCACTGAGGTTCAGGTGAAGTTGCACAGTGCTGTGGAAGTGTATGCACCCCTTGGGGTGGAAATGCTTGGGAAACCAAAGTAAAACAGATGGCCTTAAAAACACCACCTTACTTGCGATTATTAAACATCAGCTCAGGTAAATCCTATTCCCAGAATTCAGCAGCAAATGAGTAGGCAAAAAGGCAAAAGGTTCCTGGCTTGTACCAGCCAGTGTGGCCACAGACCCAGGGCAGTGACTGTCCCCTGTGCTGGCACTGCTGAGAGAGCTCCAGTCCTGGGGAAAGTTCGGGGGCCCTCATAAGAAACAGTGAGGGGCTGGAGTGTGTCCAGGAAAGGGAATGGAGCTGGAAAGGGTCTGGAGCCCCAGGAGCAGCTGAGGGAGCTGGGGAAGGGCTGAGCCTGGAGAAAAGGGGGATCAGGGGGGACCTTGTGGCTCTGCACAACTCCCTGACAGGAGGGGGCAGCTGGGGGGGTCAGGCTCTGCTGCCAGGGAACAGGGACAGGACTAGAGGAAATAAAAATAAACCTCAACTATGTCGGGAAAGGTTTATATTGGATATTAGGGAAAATTTCTTCATGGAAAGGGATGTCCAGACCCTGCCAGTCCCTCCTCTCTCCAACCCTTAGGCTGCCTCCATTTGATAGGGGAAGAACAGGACTCCAGTCTCTACACCAGAGAAAAGCTGCTCCTCACTCAGACACAAAACTCGCTTCTCTACAAGACCTACAGACAAAATCCACCAGGATAAACAGATTTAAACAGGTTTTATTCATAAACTGTTTGGGGAAAGGAGATTTACCGATATACAAAAAGTCAAGAAATGAACTGACTTTCTTCTGTTTGCGGATCCTTTCAGGCACGTTTATAAATTCCCACCATAATTGCTAAGGGAACAACACATCTCCATACAGTTTTACTGAGCCTGGGCTGTGAAGAATGTTGCATTTCGGAATTGTACAGAAAACACACTCCTGTAGCCAACTTGCAACTAGCATTCCCAAAATTACTAGCTACATGCTACACAAACACCTTACAATGATAATCAAGAAGTACATTATTTCTCTCCTTTTTTTATGCATTAACCCAGTAGGATGTGTACAATCAATCACAAATTCTATGGTTCATTTACACAGGTTTGTAGTCAAGTTTGGACTCCAGCTTCTTGGAATCAGCCACTTTCCTGACAGCTTTCATGAAATCTTCCTGAACTACRAAGTCATGATCGGCACGGATCGCAAACATCCCTGTGAAGGAGGATTTAACAGTGTAAAGACAGAACAGAAAGTTTCACTTAAATTCAAATRAAAACTGATCCAGGTTACACTGTGTGCATGTGGCCTTTCCCATGTCTTGGATGTTGGGAAGAGGGGAATGCCTTCCTGATCCAGGGGATTACTAAGAAAAAAACATGTTTAAACTCTGAGTGTGCATTCAGTGTGTTACTCAGCCTGCATGTGGAGGCAAACCCTTAGTGCACAAATTTGCATGTGGAAAAAGCATAAAATAGCATCAATTCTCCAGGCACTTGGGTACCAAAGGCCCTGAATTCTCTGAAAAAATGAGAAAAATAGGTATAATCACTGTTTCTAGAATGTATCTGGTTCTAATGAGACAGTGAGATGCACAATGATCAGCCAACAAGTGGTTGGCTCAGATCAGCTCAAGTGAAATGTTCCAAGAGAACATTTTTGAGCTCCTGGGTTTAATCCATGGAGGAACAGCTCCAAGGCTCAGCATTATCCMAGATTTAGCCCATTCCAGTGAAGAGTTAAGGAATTACCTGCTTCAGTACAGACATTTCTCAAGTCTGCTCCGTTGAAGCCATCTGAAAGCTTCACGATTGCTTCATAATCTGTTCATAAAACACCAATGCCCGTTAGGAATAAATCACCCTTCCCGTYAGGGATGCCAATAAAATACATATCCAGCTACCAAACACCCACTTGGATTTCAGTGCAAACAGAGAGCTGCCCACTGGGCTGATAAATTAACTGGAATCATCAGCTGTATCACTCCTTCCATTAAAACAGCAATGTGTGGCAGCCAAAAGCTCATGTTATATAATTAAATCCCAAAGTTACCAACTTGTGGTTATAAGAATCAACATGAAGTACAAAAACTCCATCAAGGCAATGTTCTCATCATTTAAACACTGTAAAACCCAGAAAACTCATCTCCAAGTGATCATAATTCATTCTCTTTCTATTTTCAACACTCTATGTACTAAAGGCATTTAATGTCAATATATTAAGCCTGGTATTTCATGCACATATATTTACTAAAAAAGTGGCCATGGTTATAATTCAGAGGAATCAATTTCTAATCCACTGTATCTGCTGAGCCTCCAGCACTTTCTGATTTTTGCAAGGCTGCTTAATAAAGTGATCAACTTCCTGGAAAACTTTTCAGTTTCCCTTCTGTATGAAATTCATAATATTTGAATTGAATGTTTTTATCTCATGAATCCAAAAACTCTTAAATATGAGAAGTTCTTCAGCTGTATTTCAATTGCATGTAGTATGTCATATAAAAAAGTCTTTGCATAATTGGAAAGTTAAAAAAACATAAGTGAGGGGGCTAAGCAAGGTTGAACAGTGCAAGGTTTGTGAGTTTAGGGTTTTCAGCAGACACTAGGAGAATCTCATGCTGGTCTCTGAGCAGGTCCTTCTCTTTAGATTTTAATGCAATTCCACCCTGCTGCTAAGTCCTGGCCTTCCTTTTGGGATATCAAAGCTRAGCATCACAGTCTTTCCACATCCCACTCAGAATTTAGCAAGGACCTGACACCTCACCTTGCTGAATGGCATGAAGGAATGATCCTGCCCTGTCCACTCCAGTGCCAAAGACACAAGAACAAGGATGGAGTAGAATCAGAGAATCCCACAGTGYTTTGGGCTAGAAGGGACCTTAAAGGACATCTTGYTCCAACCCCTGCCATGGCCAGAGGCAYCTTCCACTTGCTCCAAGCCCCAWCCAATCTGGCCTGGAACATTTCCAGGGATCCAGRRGCARYCACAGCTTCTCTGGGCACCCTGTGCCAAGGCCTGCCCACCCTCACAGTCAGGAATTCCTTCCAAATATCTGGCAGTGGGAAGCCACTCCCCTTGTCTTGTCACTCCAAGCCTTGTACAGAGTTACTCTCCAAAAAGTTTACCTCAGGCTCATGATTTGGAGCTTCTCCTCTACCTCAGTCTGCAATCACGTGCAGGTTTAAGCCAACACTGCTGCTAAGAAAAGCAATGCCCATCCCCTGACCCTCCCCCAGCTCTCTCCTGCTATCCCCATGCTGAGCTGCAGCTGTTGATGCAGCCAGATGGTGACTGGGATCAGTTCCAGGGGCTGCAGGAATTGCTGGTGTCAGCACAGAGGGGGTGGGGGTGGCACGGGGCCCTGGGGCACTGCTGCACTCCCAGGCAGCCAGCRCTGCTTTAAAGGCAAATCCCAGCCCCAGTTTCCTCCAGGAAGCTACGAGGAGTCACTGTGAAAGCAGGACTCTGGTCAGCTTAGAGTAACARAGTCCTTAAATAAACCTTCCCCATTTCATCTTATTATTCTCCCCTTACACTCCTGAGAGAATGATCCACACCACTACCCAGACAACAATTTTCCTTACACGGTCTCCAAACTCTAAGGTTTCTCCCTGACTTTTAAAGATTGTTGCTTTCAGACTTCATTAACAATTTCTTTCATTGAGGGACAAATGAAAAAGCTCTTTGCTTGCACTAAGCTGTTCCTTTAGAAACAGGAAACTGCCTGACGAGAACCATGTTGATTTTCCAGTTTCCAGCTGGGCTCCAAGGGTTTACAATCAGYTTTCTTTTTCAAAGACTTAACAACAGTTCAACCAGGATGCATTAGAAAATAAAAGAAGTAGAATTCCGAGAGAGGAAGTGTAAAGGTAGGAATACAGTCAGAGTTGTAACAACTCACCCTCTTCCCATCTTTACAAAGAGYAGCAGGAATGATATCCAAGTAACTTCTTACTTACCTATTTCACCATGTTTGGTGATAGGACCTGCGTGAATCTTCAAAATATCTAATCTGGCTTGTTCATTTGGTAGATCGATATCTAGAAAGAATTACAGCTTCAGTAAAAGCAGAAACCCACAATTCCCATGGGTTATATCCTCCTTCCAGCCACTGGSAAGCAGAAACTCACGGATTTTTCTATCCAGCCTTCCGGGCCGCAGCAGGGCAGGATCCAGGGTGTCAGGTCTGTTCGTGGCCATGATCATTTTAACTCTGTGCAGGGTGTCAAATCCATCCATCTGATTCAACAACTAACAGGAAAGAGAATGTTGGTTTTAAACAACYCCAAACCTTCCCAGTCTGATTTTTTCCCTGCCTAAGTATTTTCACCAAGATAAGAAGCACTGAAGGTAAGTCAAAAAATCCTACAAACTGCCTAATGAAAGGCCTGGAGCTCCCTGAATATTCCATAGGGCTGAAGAGAGACACAGCAAATATTTTGCCCAGAGAAAAGGACATTGAGCAAAGCTGAGCTCAAACGTGAGACACTTGACTAAAACAATGAGGCAAAGAAAACACTGCAAGGACTAAAGGAACCCATGGCTGCCTGACACATTTGGATTGTAGAGCACCAAGGCCAGGACTTTCCAATTAGACTTGAAGAACAGCCTCTGGAATACTAATCCACACACAGGAAGGCRTTTCATTGTGAAGATTCAAAGCACTTGCTCTTTGATCACACTGATTTAATTCTCTGTGGAAGGCAGACACATTCTTTTGAACCAGGCAAACTGTTTGCAAACACAGGCCAAGCAAGGTTCCCATTAGCTTCAGAATTCCTAATTGTCACCAGTGGTTTTAATATTCTYTTCACACAACCCAGTTTACCAAAGCAATTAATACAGTGTCTTGGCTTGAACCCACAACATACAGAAACAAAGAAATACAACTATTCCTCCTAGCTTTGAAAATCCAACTGTTACAGTCCAGGAATTTTACAGATTGAGTATTTTTGGGGCTAAAAGAGACAGAAAAATGGGCTCTTCAAACCTTCAAAGATGCAGGGAGTAGCAGAGGGTAAAAGAAGAGAAAATATCCCAAATAACCCCAGCAATTTTAAAGATTCAATTAGTCTACAAACTGAACTCATGGCTGAATGATCAGGATGTGCAGCTGCCTTTTGTAAAAGCAGCACTTAGTTCACTTTTAGCTTAAGACTACTAACCCAGAAAAGGTTCAGCCAAGCCAGATCCCAGGTAACAATTCACACCTATATTATATTTAATGTGGCTGTCCAGGACACAGTCAGGAATCAGACACTCACCTCCATCAGAGTCCTCTGAATTTCTCTATCAGCTGATGTGCCTTCGGAAAAGCGGCGCCCACCTGCAGCACAGCAAACTCATCAGTTCTGGTACTTGATTTTTGCCTTTTGAACAGGGGGAATTGGCTTTATAGYTGATTTCAGCTATAAAAGGAGAGCCCAGCCACCCTCCAGGCCATGAGCCTTACCAATAGCATCGATCTCATCCATGAAAATGATGCAGGGCTGATGATCTCTGGCATAATTGAACATCTCTCGGATCAGCCGAGCGCTCTCACCGATGTATTTGTCCACTATGGAACTCGACACCACCTTGGGAAGGACAGAACACACAGATGAGGAGACTGGAGAGCAAACAGATCATATTTGGGACAGAGCAGTGCCATTACACACCTTGAGGAAGTTGCARTCCAGCTGGCTGGCAACTGCTCTGGCCAAAAGGGTTTTTCCTGTACCTGGATAGACAAGAGATTGAAGTTGTTTAATTATGAACTCAACACTGCCTGCCAGTGACCTGGGAACGAGGGAAAGGGAAAGGGTGGAAAAGGGAAAGGGTGGAAAAGGGAAAGGG